ACACACTGTAAAATGACACCAAATTAAATATTCTTTTCCAACCCAACGCCAATGATCACATATATAAAATTAAGTAAAAAAGTCAAATCCAATTCGTTTACCAACAATAATTAAAATTTTACAGTAAATTAATGAACGATTCATATAATGAAATTCAAAATTCATCTTTCCCATTGATTAGCACATTATAAAATTACATCAAATTAAATATTTTTTCCCAACCCACCGCCAATGATCGCATCTACAATTAACTGGAGAAAAATAAGCGAAAAAGTCAAATCCAATACATTCACCAGAAAATATTTAAAAACAGAAAGCAAACAATGAAATAGTTCATATTGAACACAATTAATAAAAACTCAAAACAGATCCTTAATGTACATTGGTGCACAATAAAAATTTTCAAATTCAGTTTTCTTTTATAATTCATCGTCAATTTCCAAAAATAATTAAAATCCAATATTTGTCGGCAAATGTTCTGCTGTAAATCATAAAACGGTTAATATATCAATATAACTAAGAAAAATTCAAATTCACCCTTATCACTTATTAGTGTGATACGAATAATTTAAAATTTAACTTTATTTTTCAACCCATGCCAATGTTGATTTTTTCCAAATAATATGAATAGAAATTAAACGAAAAATTCAAATGCCATACATTCAACAGCAAGTATAATAAATTTTGAATGAAAGAATCGTAATAATTTGATAATGAACGATTCATAATAATTTGATAATAAATAATTCATAATAATTTACAAATGAACGATTTGTAATAATTTACTAATGAACGATTCATAATACTTTATTAATGAATGATTCGTAATTATTTATTAATGAAAGATTCGCAATAATTTAATAATGAATGTTTCGCAATTATTTGATAATGAACGATTCGTAATAAATTGATAATAAATTATTCATAATAATTTACAAATGAACGATTTGTAATAATTTACTAATGAACGATTCATAATACTTTATTAATGAATGATTCGTAATAATTTATTAATGAAAGATTCGCAATAATTTAATAATGAATGATTCGTAATACTTTAGTAAGGAAAGATTCGCAATGATTTATAAATAAATGATTCGTAATAATTTACTACTGAACGATTCGCAATAATTTACTAAGGAAGGATTCGTAATAATTTATTTATGAATGATTCGTAATAATTTAGTAATGAACTTTTGGCAATAATTTATTAATGAATGATTCAAAACAATTTAATGAGTGATTCGTAATAATTTACTAGTGAACGATTCGCAATAATTGATTAATGAATGATTCGTAATAATTTAGTTAATGATTCGTAATAATTTAGTGAACGATTCACAACAATTTATAATGAACTATTCGTAATAATTTATTATTGAATGATTCATGTTAGACAAATTGATTGAATTGCTAATTTATCATTGATTAGCCCACTACAAAATCACTTGAAATTCAATTTTCTTTCCCAATCAATTTCCGATTGTTTACTTCAACCGAAAAGCACTACACAAAAGAAAGCAAACGAAAAATCCAGATCCAACCCACCCGATTTTCAATTACTTACTGCATTCCATCCACCCCTGCTTCAAAGGCAAGCGAACAAACAAAATAATCCTTTTTCTAATTCCATCCGCTTTTTATTCGGGGAATGCCAGAAACACCGGGGCAGCCTCTTATTACGCAGAGGGGCGCTCCAAATCACGCAATCCCCGAGGGACGGGTGCTAATGGGGCGTTCTCTCTTCGATCGCGTGCCTCGGGCGGTCTGTGCACCCCCTGGGGTTTGCCGACTCCCCGTTCGGAATGGATGATACTGGGGCACGAATTGTATATGAGACCCGCAAACCTTAAATGGGGAGATCCCAGCCCCACTGAAACCATGGAAAAGAGTGTTATAAAGTTGGATGGTTATTGCCTCTCACATTCTTAAAGTTAGTGAAAGTCAAAGGGTGGACAATGGGCCATAGCTTGGTTCATTTAGCGCAGTAAGAAAAAGAAAAAAAAAAAAAAAAAAAAAAAATTTCAAAAGGGGTAAGTAAGCATACGCATAGAGAAAATTTCGGCATGCTTCTCTATTTTTATAGGAAAGTTTATGAATTATAAATTACATTAAGTGAAATTCGAATTCTCCTCTTTGGTATTCGTTGAAGCATTGACGAAAAATACAAATTCTTTTCTTTGGTATTCATGGCAGCAATCATAAGAAATTCGAATTCTCCTTTGGTATCTCTGGCAGCATTCATGAGAAATTCGAATTTTTCACTTTGGTATCCGTTGGAGTATTCACGAGACAATAGAATATGAAGGGTGGACAATGGACCATATCTTCGTTCATTTAGTGCAGTAAGAAAAAGAAACAAAAATAAAAATTCGAAAGGAACTAGTAAGCGTACGCATAGAAAAAATTTCGGCATACTTTTCTTTTTTTATAGGAAAACTTAGGAATTATGAATTACTTTGAGAGAAATTCGAATTCTCCTCTTTGGTATCAATTTGAACATTCATGAGAAATTCGAGTTCTTCTCTTTGACATCTGTGGCAGCATTCATGAGAAATTCGAAACATGAAAATAAAAATGGACATTAACAACATCGTTACAATACTCACATACAATACAATACAATACAATACTTATACAATGTACTCATACACTGTTTACAATAAATGCTCAAAATTGCTACCACCAACAATAAATAATACATGCTTGGTAGTGTCGATTTGGTTTGGTTAAGTTTCTTGCTCTACGTCCTTTTCTTGTACACATTAGATTAATTAGACCGGGACCTATTGCTTAATGTGGATTACTAACCACTAACAAAAATCCATACCATCGGCGGGATGAAGCATGTGGTCGAAAAGGCCAGAGATGGTAGATTCGAAGGAGTGATTGGTGAACAGTTCCAAAGATGCTAGGCATAGGATAGTCGAGCAACGAGGTCCTCAACCTCAGTCAGCTGGAGTCTCGTAAATGAAAGCACAGTTACAAACACAGAGTAAGAATAAAACAGAGTGCCCATCGGGTTTAACAGCCAGATGATTTGAAACCCGTCACGTGACGGGTATAGTTTGGGACATTCTGCCTGGCTGTTGAAAAAAATCTGTTTGAAAGAGCATTCTTTCCTCAATGCGTCATCTCCGATCATGCATTATTATACAATAAAATGTGTTATTTACTAAGCTGTACAACTCCTCAAAATTTATCCCATGACCGTTGATTTTGTATAATTAAAATAAATTGCATTTACTTATATACCAATCAATAAAAGAATGTGTCTTAATTTCATTTACATCCTAGTAATTCATTCATCATCATTATCATCAATAGCACGACAGCCCAGAGTGGGGCAAGATTTTCCTTTGAAGAGATTTCCATGCATTCCTCTAGGTGACAATTCTCTCCACCAACTGTTTTATATAGCAAAATCTTTTTTAACTGCGTCTATCCATCGCAACTTGAGTTGTCCTCTTCCTCTTTGTCCTTGTGGAGCAAAAATTAAGCGAGCCTATATACTGGGTTTAAAAATCATTCATTCTAAACATATGAGCAGTCCAGTTTAAACTATTGATCCTAATAAAATTTACAATATATGGGTCTTCATAGCATTTGTAAATTTCTGCGTTGTACCTTCTTCTCCAAAAATCACTGGCGGCCTGATGGCAACGCTGGCTAGCTCTCTGGCCGTTGGCACCGAAGGCTTCAGGTTCGAATCATGGCGGTGTCATGAATGTTTGTTGGTGATACGGAATCTACGTTAAACTGTAGGTCCCGGTCTATTTAACCTAAAGTGTGCACAAGATGTTCGTAGAGTGACAAACCAAACCAACAATTACTGTCCTTAATACTTCGAAGAATATCCCTTAAAATCTTCCGCTCAAATATACCCGTCAGATGTTGCCAAAAAATTAATTCATAAAATATTTTAAAATTTTTATTTCTTGGGTTTCAGTTTTCAAACGATTCCGATACCAATCTATCACTCTCCACCCTTTACGTACCCATCAAAATACCTACACAAAAGCTCACGCCCCTACGGTAGCTAACTGCCTAATACCAACCTTGTCCACACTAATTCACGTTATTAATGCCATTATCACGCCACTTTTCCTCCCTTTGACCTTGAAACGTCACTCCATGGTCGCGTGAGGGTTGGTTCGAAACCTTGGAAATCAAGTTCCACCAGCGCCTGAGAGTGTTCTCACCGGAAATCAAGGCAGAAGATTCTCGGGGTGGCTTAATGACTCGTCCTCAGGTACATGACTGGAAGAGTGTCTCGCAAAAAAAGTAAAATAAAGATGAGTGATATAAAATAAAGAAAAATAAAGGTGATTCTCAATTAAATGGGCGGACCTGATGAATCGAGAAATAGCGTGTGGTTTAGGAAGACTCGATTTTTTTAATAACCAGAGGACTGGTTCAGTGACTTCAGAATTGATATGTTCCCAACAAAATCTAGCAATCATTTGACTGTGCGAAACGTTTTATTCACAAAATAGAAATTAAAGAAGTAAAAAATAGATGGAAAGACAAGAGAAATAACTAAATTGAAATTGAAAGAAAATAATAGAAAATCTAATACCTGTTTCTTCCATTTCAACATGTTTGGTATTAATACATATTTATGTATAATAAAACGCAATACATAATACCATATTTATATAAAATCGAACTGGATAGTAATACTGCTACTGTTATATATATATATACATACTACTGTTTTGTTGTTGTTGTTTCTTATCCCACTTGGCTGGCCAAGCCCATACGTACTCATGATTGAAGGGGAAGGAAGCAGCTTCTGTTGTGATGGAGCACCCGTAGGTAGAAGCCTGACTTTTGCTCCGTGACGCTCTTACAGTCATAAGAGACCGGGACCTACGGCTTAAAGTGGATTCCGATCCACTACAAACATCCATGGCACCGCCGGGATTTGAACCCGAAACCTGTGGCACCGAGTGCCAGAGCGCTAGACACTCGGCCATTCAGGTCCCTTTGCCAACGGCATCCCAGGTTACTGACCGCGCCCAATGATGCTTGACTTCGGTGATCTAACGAGAACCGGTATATTCAGCATGGTACGGCCGTTGGCACATTACTGTTATATACATAAAGAGAAAATTCTGAATTAAAATTAAAAAAAAATAATAATAATAAAAAAATTTGGTGCTTGTTTCTTTCATTTAAACTTACTTGATATTAATTCATATTTATGTAATATAAAACATATATAGTATTATATTTATATAAATTATAACAATAATATATATGCATATACAGATTTATCATGCTTAGTCTCAGCATAGATACAGGATCTTTCTCTTCGGCTTTGCTTATGAACTGAACCTCCCTTAGCTCTGAAATCCACTAATCACCTAGTCGCTATAGCATAGGTCAAGTTTCATCATATCCAACTAGCTTTATATGCATCCAAATCGTTTAATGAGCATAAGAATCACATTATATCTATCAGAATTCCCCAATACACTAAAAAATAAATAAAAAGAAGGAAAGAAATCACTGTTAAGAGTTATAAATACTTTTTAAAAAACAATAGGCTCGGTGGAGATTGTGACAGAATATCTAACATAAGCTTGATATTTTTGTACTTTCCCTTACATGATGCTGTAAATGCTACACTAAACCTGCATTACAACTTCAATTTTAAATAGGCAGATAATAGCAGTATCTGAGTCATTTGTATTCTTTTTCTGCTCGGATCCAAAAAATGAGCATCCTGGCCGACAAATTTATCGTGCTTATTCTTAGCATAAAACTTTTCATTTCGGCTTCGCTAACAAAAACAAATTGTGTTCCCTTAACTCAAAAACAGCTAATCACTTGGTCACTTCAAACCTAGTTACCATAATTTAGATTAAATTTCATCTCATCTGAATCCCGGTATAAGTATCCAAATCACCATACAAGCATCCAAATCATCATATATGCATCCAAATCACCAATATAGAAATACAAATCCCTTTAGTTCGGCTTCTCTAACAGTTACGAATTGTGTTCCCTTCACTCAAAAACAGCTAATCACCTGGTCGCTTCAAACCTAGTCACTATAATATAGGTTAAGTTTCATTTCATTCATATCGCTATATATGTAACAAAATCCCCGTATAAACATCCAAATCACCATATAGGAATCCAAATTCTTTTAGTTCTGCTTCGCTAACAATTACGAATTGTATTTCCTGAACTCGAAAACCGCTAATCGCTTGGTAGTTTCAAAGTCACCACAATATAGATTACGTTTATTCTCATCCAAACCACCATATGTGCATCAAAATCCCCGTATAAGCATCCAAACCTAATCACCATAATATAAGTTACACCTCATCCAAATCACCATATATGTATCGAAATCCCCATATAAGCATCTAAGTCACCATATATACATCCAAGCCACCGTATATGCATCCAAATCACCCTATACGATAAGGAAAAGGACTTACAAAGCTAAATCTTGAGGTTATGTTCCCCATCTGGCCCTAAGCTTGGGAGGAGGGTCATTCGGAACGCATTCGTGACTCTCAAATGACGGGTAAAGGGCGATCCGTATCGAGACGAGTTGAGATGGTCTTGCCCTTCTTATCTGATGACGGGGGTGACCCTCAGCAAAGTAATCACTAACCGCACGTGGTCAGAACAGACGATTCATCGTGACCGTGCCTGTTACATAAAACGATATCGTGTACAAGGTGTGGAAGATGCCTGCATGGAAATTTCAGAGAGTAATTGACTTGGGGTATCTCTGAGCAGACGATATTTTTTTTCTTCTTGTTTTGTTGGATCGAGGTTGAAGCATATCGCATGGCTGCAAGCTAGGTAGATTAGAAGAACATGATGTAATTACTTTATTACACTGGTACGAATATATCACGGTTTGCTGTTATGGTTGCAGTTTGTAACGGGGATGTCAAGGGGTAGTGAAAGCGTGAACTTTTGGGAGTCATTAGAATAATAATTTGTTTGGAAATAATGATCTTTTTTTTACAAAAGATCATAGGCTTGTTCACCAAAGTTGAACTTAATGGTAAAATTTAGCTCTGTTGAACTTTAGCTAATAGCTGCCTCACACTTTTAAAAACATACTTGAGTGAGAAGGTCTTACAAATCACTTAATAAGTGACCACAGAAATATCCACAAGTAAAAACGAATTTTATCTACAGAATAAGTTTCTAATGCAGAAAAATTTAATATAACATCTCTATGAGGATTTTTCAACATATTACTACGTAAATATGTATCATATAAATGTCAACAAAATTTCTGAAACTTATTTTATGAAATTTTGTGTGTTAAAAAACTTGGTGTATATTTTTCAATTAAAGTTACTATATAAAATAAAATATTTTTTAGATATTTTTGTAGCAGTTTCAAGTCATAATTATTTAAAAATATACAATTATTTGCAATATTTAAATTCTAATAATGATATGATTTGGGACTTTTTAATAATCTTTAAGATATACTAGTATTGCAGAAAAATATTATATATTTAGCAACTTTTGAAAAGCTTCTTGAATTTATTTTACATGTGAACAATTCTAAACACAATTTATATTATTTTATTGAATCTATACTGCGGTTAGCTTATAAATTTTAAGTTCTTCTTCTTCTTCTGAAACATAGGTTGAACCTCATTTTCTACCTCTATTTTCTACCTTCTTTTCTACCTCATTTTCTACCAAATCCAAACTGTCATATATAATATTCTTGAAACATCGAATGGATCTTTTGTTTTTCCTCTGATTGCCACGATATTAATGCAAACTTTCGTCAAATTTCTTATAATAAGCGATCAATTAAGCCAAAAAATTCAAATTATCACAGATACTATTCTTGAAACATCGAAATATCTATGATATGCTCTACATCGAATAGTATTCATGCTCTACTTTTTGTTGCCACAAATTTAAATTTTCGTCAATTTATACTTAATACATGGACATCTAAGTCCCAAATCCGTATTATAATAGATATTATTCTTGAAATGTGAATGAACCTTTTGCACTTCCTCTGATTGCCACAATATTATTGCAAACTTTCATCAATTTACACTTAGTACGCGAGTAACTAAACTCCAAATCTAAATTGTCATAGGTATTATTTTTGTAACATGCTCATATTATGAACCATTTGCCTTCTCTCTCTGATTGCCACAATATTAATCCAAATTTTCATCTATTTACATTTAATAAGCGAACAAGTAAGACCCAAATCCAAACTGCCATAGATAGTATTCCTAAAACATCGGATGAACCTCTTCCTCTGGTTGCCCCAATATTAATGCAAATTTTCTATTTAGACTTAATACGCGAACAACTAAGCTCAGAATAAATATTATCACGGATATTATTCTTGAAACAACGGATGAACCTCTTGCTCTTTCTCTGATTGCCACAATATTAATGCAAAATTTCGATAATTTATTTAATACGCGAACAACGGTATTAAACCGATCGCGATTTGAACCGTTAATCGCTATTAAATCGCGATTAACGGTTCAAATCCATGTTGTCTTATATATTATTTTTGAATTACGGATGAACCCTTTGCTCTTCCTCTGATATGCCACAATATTAATGCAAAATTTCGTCTATTTACACTTAATACGCTAACAACTAAATCCCCAAATCCAAATTGTCATAGATAGTGCCATTTTGAACACATAACAAACGGCACTCAATTATAAACATTTTTTAGTACTAATTAAGCTAACAAACCAAAACGAGAATATTAATTAACTGAAGAGAATAATAAACTGAATAGACTGCCATCATATAAAAACAAACAAGAAAAAAACAGTAATTATGCAAACTAATATATGTATAATTCTTCTTCTTCAATGACACAACAGCCTCATGGTGGACCAATGACGTCTGCCTATTGTCAGATAATAAATATTTATTTATAAAACTCAAAAGAAATGTTATAAAGAGGGTTATTATTCTGAAGATAACTTTATCAAAGATACGTACCCAAAGGATATTATATCATGTGATATTTACACACAGTATGATATTTCTGCTCCAAGAAATATCCAAGAAAAACATATCTAGAGAAGTATATATATATATATATATATATATATATATATTTTTCGTCAATGGTGCAACAGCCCCACTGTGAGCCATGGCCGTCTGCCTACTAGTAGATTCTGAGACAGGAGATGCTTTTCTTTTTTACTGGGTTTTTACTTTTCTTTTTTTTTTGTCAGCCCTACGCTTAAAATTGGGTCAATAATAAAACAAAAATATATTCTGAAAGAGAGACAACTCGAAGCGAAATACAGGATTCGTGATTTGGTGGTGGCAAGTCGGTAACCTTAGACCAGGGATGGGCAAACCACGGCCCGCGGGCCAACTCCAGCCCGCCGGAAAGTTCTATCCGGCCCGCGGATAGAATTTTAATTTGCTGGTCCGAACCAAATTAAAAGAAATATATATTTATATATTATATATCCATCTCCTTTTCTACTTTGATTAAATATTTTTTTTCTTCCTTTTCTTCAAAGGACTGATGATCTTTTTACTTCCTCTATTTTTGTACTACAAAACATAAATCGACGGAAATAACAACACAGACAACTTTCAATCGGTAAAGTGTTAAAAGCGGAAGTTCTTTGTTAGTTATAGCTGTACATTGGCGCCAATAAGTTTTACTAACCATTATCGAAAGTAAGTTTCCCTTATTTAATATCTCACGCTCAGAAAATCAGTGCTGTGTTTGCTTTATCTTATATATGTGAACAAGTGTTTTCAACTAGGAACCTTAGAAAGAATTATTTCAGAAGTGGACTGACAGATGAGCATTTAGCCTCGTTCCTTAGAATCAGTACCTTTCACTCCAAACCTCAATATAAGGAACTTTTAAAAATGAAATCGCAATTTCATTCCTCTCATTAACATATTTAAATTGTAGTGTAAAATGTTTTTAAAATTTTAGAAAAATGTATCTTGGCCCGACAAACTTTTTTTTTTCAATTTTTGCCCCTCCCTGCCTTATACACACATATTTCATGTAAATGTGTTGTCACGTAAATGATTGCAAAATAGAAAATATTTATATTTGAAGTG